TTTAAAAAATGCGTTTCTAAAGTGCATAAACTTTTGGGAATGACTGTTCTGCCAATACATCCTTAAATAGAGATTTCTTTTAAGTAAAGCTTCTTCACTTGAATACTTTTATAAATCTATAAAATGCACAGTCTAATCTCTTCCTACTAACAATTACTCAACGGTCTGCGGTCATCGGCATTTGGTCGACGTCTCAATTCGAGACAAATTGGCATGAACATGTATCCAAAGCGGCGAGCCAAAAATCGGTTCCAAAACGTTTTCGAAAGCAACTCTCAACCGATTAGCTTTAAGCAGATTGTAAGGCCGTCTCCTTAGGCGTCTGATCTGTGATTCATCGGCACGTGTTGTGTAACAGTCGATCGTAAATAGAATGCTCGTTAACGCGTCCAGTATTTAGAACATGAATGGATCGTAAGGATTCAACGTTAAAGCGATTTGAGAAAAGAAAGGAGAACTGCTCTGTTCGTTTCTCACCTATCCAACGTAAGCTCCTCTAAGTGACTCAAGTCGCACGTGATGTACTCCAGGGCAGCGTCCGTGATCCTCGAGCACCAGCTTAGATCCAACGAGCGGAGTCTAGTTAAGTTTTCAGCTATCAACTCGACACCGTCGTCAGTTACCTTGCTGCATCCGGACAGCGACAGGACAGTCAGGGTCGGCAGGGAATGTACTGGAAATTAAAACGAATATTTATATATTTTTAATCAATTCAGAGGACAGTTGGCTTCCAGTTGCAAAATTGTTTGAAATGATACGGTTGGGACACGGAGCTACAAGAATCTAGGTAGAAATAATTGACCGCGACGATACCGTGAAATTAAGTCAGGTGATATACGCATCGAGCCGCTATAAATTTAGAATTAAGGAACAGACAGCTTTATTTAGCTTTCAAGCTGTCACCGACTGGTCAACCTCTCGAGCACCTAGTGGATGAGTAACGCGCGAGTACACAATCCGAGAACAACGTACTCGTTTATTTATAAGACCATGTAAGAAACACGCGTCTGTCGAAGGAATTAAAGATCGTTCTTTACCAATATTATATATGCCATGATTGGTGAGTTCCCAACAAGATTGCAGCCTGAGGATGCTGAGGGAACTGTTTTGAGTAGCGTGGAAGTATCCAAGGGCGGCGTCTGTTACATGGTAAGCCTGCAACGAGAACTCGTAGAGGCTCGGCAGCAATTGAGCGACAGCGCCGACGGCTTCGTCGGCTACGTTAATGCAATCCGACAGGGACAACGATATTATTCTAGGTGTCAAGCACGTCCACAGCCCGGCTTCCGTTATCTCGTTGCAACCGGCTAATTCGAGCTCGTACAATGACTAGAAACAAAACATTCCAAATCAATAGATCTAAATCTAAATCTCTTAATCATTTTAGCATAAGACTGCGGATTCTATGTATGTACGAAAAAATTCAAAGAATGCAATCATTTCAAATAATGCATAAACGTAGACAAAATGTTAAATAATAAAGAATATTTTTATCTACAATATATTTCTTTAATTACTATCACAAATTTGTTATTTTTGATAAAATTCTATTGAACATTCCGAAAGACTTACTTGCAAATGATCTAAGAGGGCTTCCAACCCTCGGTCAGTGATCGCGCAGCACCTCATCGATAACGAATGGATGTTTCTCTGCGCCAACGGGAATCCGTGCGTCAGTTCCGGGATATCCTCGTCGGACGCGCCGAGAAGTACCAGCGCGTGAAATCCTCTTCTGACCAAAGAGGCGTAGAGTCGCGTACGCGAATTGGGAGGCATCGCACGCACCTCGCGACACCTCAACACGGGCACCAAACCTGCCCAAAGTCGAGGTCGCGCGTAAAGGATGTCCCTCCATCTTGAACACACCTGCAATAAATTGTTAATTCATATTGCTACCGCGGTTTTTCTGCAACATCACACACTATTTATAAATCTATAAAAGAGGAGTCTCCCATTTTTATTCTGGTAAAGTTCACGCAGTACCCTTGCGTAAAAATTGCGTCGGAATCGAATCGATATTAGCACTCCAAAGTGAGTAGAGATTCTTTATAAATTTTCATGTACTACACTCTCGCGAAAAGTCTTTTAATCGAAACAATATAATATTGGATATTTAAAAAAGCGGACAGAGAAAAGAAATGTTTTATGCATTTTATGCCATTTGCAGTAGCACTTTGAGCATTGAAACTTTGGCTCTTCATTCATTATTACTTTTTGCCAGCTGGAGTATCACCAAACCATTTTTTCTCTTTATTGTTACAAGTGGGGAACTTTGAAGGCTCTGATTTACAAGTTTATTTGTGCTCGTTTGTGCGGATTACTGCACTCAGCAGAGGAACGCGATTCGCAAATCCTGTATGCATACGAGAATAGGAGGATGCTTCCTCGAATCGTGCGTCAAGAAGCTTCGAGTCCGGTTTTAATAGATCTTTAAGACCCTGTATCCGAGTCTATACATCATCCTCATCTCAAAAGGTGACTCGACTAAGCTTCCTAATACCGGCAACTTTGGTCGAACTACGAGATTGTAAATCAGTAATGCGTATGGTGCAAATCTGTACATTGTAAGATTTAGAGCCAAAGAGAGTTCTAAGTGCGTCGTTAAACAAAACATATAACGACACTTATTTAACCACATGTAATTTATTTTACGCCCAGGAAGAATCAAGTCCAACAGAATTATTATTAAATTCTATTTTTAATCCAGTGCAAAATATTATTTAGCTTTATATACATTTTCTCAATAACTTTTATAATTTTTTTTAATAAGACTGTAGTTTTAAGCATTTATAGAAAAATGGTATCATCAGAAAATATAAAAAATGCGGAAATGAAATGTATTTTGCATAAAAATTCGTAGTCTAATAATTATAGGAGATACCGTTGTTTATCAAGGTAAATCGCTTTGCCAAAACGTTAAAGCATGAAATGTTCAAGCTCATCATGTTGACTTAAAATTCTGGCAATGCTCATTCGTTTTCCATTAGAGACGGAGCATGCATTACGTAGTGGAACTTAAGTTTAGTTAATGAATTTTTAGGCGAATTCAACAATTAAAAAAACGAAATGCACATATACCCTATAACTCTTATAAGCTGTACTTCAATTTGGATATTATGTGCATCATGTCGATTTTAATGCGTAAACATCCGCAGTGTATTAATTAATAACGTTCTGGCACCTGAGCCAAAATCCTCCTCTCGATGGCCGTAAAGTAGAGGAAGAATTTGCTGAGGAAATGATCGTCCAGCACCAGCTGATCCCACGTCGTGGGCGCTGCGTATCCGCCGGTACCACCGCTAGCTAGAGGCACGTTCTTCGGGCGATTTCTCGATATCCTTCTGCTCGGCGTCCCGACCGGGTTCAGGCTCTTGTTGTTCGCCGATGGCATGTTGCTCATCGACGACGGCACGCTTCTGCTAGGCTTTTCCGGGGTCGCGTTCGCATTGTTCGCGCTCTGTAAATTCGTATACGGAACACCGCCGCTACCGCAGAACACGTGCGTGACGCGTTCCATGACGCTCGCCTTTCCCCCACCTGAAATGAATGCATTCCATTATTTATTTAACTCTTCCACCGTGTAATAAAATACTGTTGAATGTTTGCATTGAACGCAATGTACCACAGTCATTCGTGGTTAGTGGCTTGCAGATTTTTATGTGTTTACGAGAAACCTAGGTGTACTGAATTTCGAAAAATGCATTCAGTATGCAAAAGAAAAGAAAATATTAGAAATAAAGTGAAAATGGAAAGCATATCTAAATTTCATTTTTTATGCATTTGTAAAAAGATATAGAAAATAGAAACTCTGATACATAAAGGCGCAATCCATAAAATATAAAAAATGAATATATATCCCAGAATTTAAATGGTAAATGAAATGCAATTTTTTTACTAACTATCATGAGTGTTTCATTTTGCATAAAAATCCATAGTCCGGTCAGTAATGGCGAGGGTATTAATGAAACTACGTCAATCGCACTTATATGGCAAAATATATGTTAAATGCTTTTCTCTTTCTGGATTTGGAGAACAATTTTGGATTGCTCGGTCGATTCGGAATCAACGTTCGATTGTACTCTACGTATGAAAGGACGATTCATTCTAAATTCGATTTAAAGTAACATCGTAGGTATTCGTATTTGCGAACATCATAGGTTTTCCCGCGGATGTAATCGTGGAATACGTTTCGATGCCAAATGTTTCCCTGTTAATAAGGACAACAATATTCCAGTAAGACAGCCTTCGACATCGAGGAGTCTTCTGAAACCTTACATTTTTCTGCTTGATCGCGTCAATATTTTCTCGGCATCTTTTGAAGCAATTGAGATAATACGTTCACGAGTGATTCAGTGAATATGACTTCCAAATGATGCCCACCTGGACTGAGAATTAAAAAATTTGATAAACGATGTACAGTGAGTCACAGTGACAATTGCTCCTCACGTTTCTTAATTTTTGTTACACGTAAAGAGGTTCAAGCTTGGGAATACAATGTTTAGAGCAAAATAAATGCATATAATGATACCATCTGTGAAATACTGAAAATTAACCATCTAGTATTTTATGTAACAATATTTAGTACTAACTATAGTTAGTTTGAAGCAAAAAAGAAGAAAGAAGAAGATACAATGAAAACTTAATTAAAACAATGAACGATGGTAAACCGGTAAATCCTAACAAAGATTAAAACCTTAGTATACTTCACATCCAAGTTTCTCATTGTATAATTAGTTGGACGATTTTCACCGCGTACAAGGGCGTGTGAAAAATTGTATTCACGCTCAAGTGGAATAAGTGTTTCGGTTAAAAAAAGGATTCCGCATCGGGCGTGAAACGCGAAGGAATCGATTTTCAAAGGAGCCCCAGTGCGCGCGTGTACGTAACGTGCGTATTGGCGAGTATGTCTTTAAAGGCTTTCCGCGAAGGTAAACTCATCGTAGAAGATGCTGCGGTTATTTTCGTTTTATTTTCGAGACTCGGAGTATGTCCTATTTGGCTCCGAGCGCACCTCTATTTCCTCTCCCCGTCTTTTATCGCGACGATCATTTTTTTTTCTTCTTCTCATTAAAATGTTTAACCCACATGCACTGTGCATAATGAAATGACTACACTATCTCAAAATAATTGCTGCAATGTTTAATATAATACTATATGACATTATGGTTTCACATAATGGTTGAGATATTATAACAATTCATATTCATTTAATTGCCAGAAATTATTGAATAATTAATAATATGAAATGAATGGATAATTTCAGATGCTACTTCATGTTAATTCATCCAGTAGGATTAAATTGTGCGTATTGTACACGTTAATAATGCAAGTGAATAAATCATCGAAAACGAATACAATACAAATTATGTATGGATTCTGGTCAAGGTATCATGCGACTCTAGCATCGTTTCGTTGTACCGAAAACGAAACAGTTTCTCGCGATTTGAACAGGTCCGAACGATTTTTCACCACGCGACGGCAATTTAAATTTATCACCGGTATTGATCACACCCCTGCCCGATGTAAATACTCGCAGCTGCACAAATTTCAATTAAAAGCCACCGCGCACGACCATTTTCATTTACGCGATAGCATAAAAGTCTGTGTGTGCCGTGTACGCAGTTTATCAAACCGTGCATTTTCAATTAGTGAGATTATTCTCAAAGTAAAAGTACGGCTGTTTCTGATCTTAAAACATTTCGCATGTTTGTTAGGATTATTTTTCTCGGAGCATAATTAGAGAGATTATTTTCAAAGTAAAAGGACCGTCTGTTCCATTTGATAATCTTAAAAAATTGTCACGGGACTTGTTCGTACATGAAATTAAATAGGACTTATACTTCACAGAATATAGTTAGAGACTTTATTTTCGAAGTGAAGCAGCGTCTTTAATCTTAACAATTTGCGACTGCAATTTTGAACAGTTGCTTGCCAGTGGACAAAATTAAATACGATGTATTTTTTCCAGGGTGCCAGCAGCCAGAAATGCATTTTCGAGCTCGTTCGTTTCGAGAAGCCTGACGACAAGGTAAGAATGATTGATAGTCCTCGAGGAGCGGCCCGGCCGATCCTCCGCGATTTTATCAGCGCCTGGCGGCAATCCAGCCGCCGCGCCGTGATTGCCTATTTTACGCGTTAAAATAAATCTCGTGCTCCTCTTCGAAACCCGGCGCGGCGCGTACGGTGCACGCGGTCTTTTGTCTCCTCCCATTCAAACGCGATGCTCACTCGGATTCTAGCCAGACGCGACGAATCGTCGATTCAGCGACATTTCCGGCTCCGTGAATTGCCGGCAACAATTAACGATAATTAACGGCAAACTAAAATAAATTCAGACGTTATAATGCCATCAGCTGTCAACGCTTTTTAATTGCTATTCCTGGCGAGAAGCTTTTAGTCAAACGTAATAAAGCAGTAGTAAGTGGAAACGTACAAAGTTTGAATATATAAAATTCTATTACATGTACAGTAAAATGTACAAAACAATTATTTTTATTCAACATTGCATTGATTAAAAACTGTGCCAGAGATAACATATTTATCGTTGGTTCGGGACAATATAACGATGTTAATATTGGGAATAATTAAGGAAAATTGCACAAGACCTGTGGGTCGAAATTTTCTGGGAAGTTTTCCAAACGGGAAACGGAGAGGGAAAGGGTTCCGGAACGGTTCCTACGTTTCCACGTGCACGAGGACGAGTGAGACTATCGATTCCATTGCAGTTCGCACATATACACGGATAGCGACCGAAGGCACCTGGTGACCGTTTTAGCGGGTCGCCTTTTTCTGGAGAAGAGCCGCCCTTCTGTGGAGGCGATCAATCAAACGTCCGCGCATAATGCAAAATTAAGCGAAAGCTGGCCCGGGATTGTGATTCAACAGAAATCAATTCGTCATCGTGATTACGTAATGACTGCTGGCCAAATTCGTGCGTCGCCTCGTTCGGGCAATCGTTCACGAGGCTCTAGTACCGAAAAGAAAAAATCAAGTGTGAAGAAATCGACGGAGTACGAATTAAAAATAAAAGATATCACGCGATGAATACAAATCCAAGAGGAAATTAATTCCTAGTTAGCATTTGAAGGATGATTGGAATTTAATAATTATGAATTATTATCGAAGCCGGGAGCAGAATGGACGGTTCCGAAATATCCGTCGTAACTATCGATTTTAAATTATTCTCGAGTAGAGGGCCATTTGCACGAAGGATAAAATTGTCTACGAGTTGGCCATAATTAGAGAACCGAAATAATGAGAGGATCGCCTGCCTACTCGTACAAGTTTATTGCTCAGTAAGCTCTGACTTCAATAGAATAAAACCTCGACGTAACGTCGCACCGAATTGGCTATTAAACCTTCTCCGAGTATTGAAGCATTTAACTGTCAGCGTTGAAGCATTGGAACAGAGAAATAGAGACGATATTATTTTGCACATCTTGCATCTTATGCGAAAAATTTAAAGAGTGTTTGGTCCTACAGTTATTCAATTGGGAATGCAATGAAATACGTACAAGTAGTGGCAAGCATACAAACAAGCGAATTTGATCCATGAAACAAATCGAAAGAATTAGAGAACTTTTTTTATTTATAATCAATTGAAACTTATGTGCTCGTCACTATATTTGATATTTGTAAAATGAAATGAATAATTGATAATTAACCAACCATGATGCTTGGACGTTCTCAGCCCCAGACCGTTGATTCTCTTAGTCAACTCTGCGCTGGCTCTCTCGACGACCCCCTGCGCTGATATCGAAGACATCTCTCACGAACCGGGGAGGCGCACTCCCTTTGCACAACCACGTAGTCAAGAAGTAAAAAGACGCGTGCGGCCGTGATTGAAGCGTATCATATTCGACGAGCACGCAAGGGAGTTTCGACTCCTCACCCTTTCGCTCCTTCCAGATCACCCCGACGTTACAGACGCTCGATCCCGAACGGTTCGATCATAATTGACATCTAAATTTATCGGCTGTGTCGGCGCGCGTGGCCGAACGAAAACGCGACCCTTCGAGAGAGCTCGTCGCGAATCGATGACGAGACGTTTCGCTGGAACGATCTATTTTAATCGACAGCCCGTCACTGTCGGCCGAATTATCCGACGAAAGGAGACAAGTATCTTGGACAGGACAGGAAGGTTTCAAGAAGTAAAGGAACGAACGTGTGTAAGATGAACCGAATGGGTATCGCGTCTTTTCGTCACGACTCCGGTTTATGTAATAAACTTGACCACCTCACTATGAACGGCGGAACGCCGCTACGGGGTTGTTTGTCAAATCGATGAGCATTATCAAACGAGGATCACGATAATCAGTTCTATCGGACGCGTCGCTGTACCGTGCGTGCACGGATGCACTTCTTAAAACCGCGATGTGCCTGTTCGTTTCGCACTCTCTGTTTATGTGTCAGTCATCACACCGAACGGAAAACAAAACTAGCAAGGTGGAGCTGCTGCAACGGGTACGGTTCATGGGGGTGGTTTGCGCGAGACTGAATCGATATCCGCGCTGAACTTGTACGGCTGCTCCCCCACTCGAATCCGCACGAGAGACCGTGTGGTTTCCAGGCGCGAACCAGCCTTGTACGCCTGGTGACCGGTGAACCGACGTGCATACACGTAACGGTGTCTGACGTAACGAAAGCTTAGATATGAATGCAACGCGATATGAATCGGGATTAGTGTTGGGTTGTAGAAAAAATGATAAGTATCAGTATTGATAAGTACAGAAAGGATTGAAAACGCTGGAAGATTAATGAGAAATCGTATATTTCTTTCTTTTCATTTCAGATTTAACATTTATACATCTCTGCGTTTGATGTAATATCTTGGTTTTCCTCTCTCTGGTATAAAAAAAATTTTTTTACTTATGCTATCTTGAGACCGGCGATGGAATTCTCCAGCAGCTAAAACAAATCCATTTAGCGATTTAATAATACCCTATATCTCGTCGTTTAGAATGATCGTAGCGTATGATCATAAAATGTTTACCTTGAGATCCCAAACTACCAGCTGGCCATCTAAGCCGCTCGTACTGAATTCATTATCTGATACTTTGCATACATAGTTGATCGTGTTTTGATGTATACTATCCAAGGCATTGTCATTCGGGTCGGTTCTCGCCTGGCGATCTAGTGACTGGAATTTACGCATGGCGGACAAGCCGGCGGCCTCCTTTTTCTGCGTGTTGTCTAATTTCGATACGAAATACAATTGACCATTATCGTCCACAGAATACAGCATAGGCATGCAGCTATGTCCCTAGAATAATTAAAAGATAATTACTTCTCCTAGCACTTTGATATATTTACGAGCAGATAGTTTTTAAAAACAAATACCGCGGCGATGATGTAGTTGGGCCCCATCCAGACGCAACTCAGAAACGGTAAATGCTCTGTATACAATCGCGTAACTGCATTCCCTTTGGTAGCATCCGCGACACAAATCGACGAATTATGCGCCACCCAACAAATTTTATTACCGCAGGGACTAAATGCAACAGAATGTATCCAACCTCCTAAATGTGAATAATAATACAATTAACAAAATTGGCTACGAACAAAATTCCGAAGAATTTTGAAGAACGAAGAATACATGTCTCCCTACCTCCATTGGGACTATTTTGGAATTCGGCAAGTAGCTTCCCTAAAGAATTACTGCGACCCCATGGGCCATTACCAGGTGTATTTCCCATATCACTAATGTAAGCACTAAATACGCGAACTTTGTAATCCGTTGATCCGGCAACTAAAACTTTGTTGTCCGGATGCCAATCAACTGCGGTTACAGTCGACCTCAATGGGCGTTTTATATGCTTACACTGCCACCAATTATTCACAGACACAAAATAACAAACTGCTATTACTCTACCGCCAGACCCAACAGCAAATTTATTTTCTATAAAAATGGGAGGCGTCAGTTATATAGATAACAATTATTCAAGCATAATCTGACAACAAGAGTAGACTTTCTCACCTAAGGGGGACCATTTTACACATGTTGCTGCTCGATTTATTCTTAAAACCACCCAAGTAGGATTCCATTTCCCATCTTCCTCTTGCGTCCAAACATACGCATTTTTATCTGCAGAACATGTTACTATTCGATTGGTATTGGGTGCCCAATCGATGTCCATGACATGCATGTCATGTGCCTGTAGATTCTGCAGCAATTTCCAACCATTCGTTGTACGTTTGTGAATTTGAATCTCATTATTATTAGGACAAATGGCCACTTCTGAAAAAGTATCTTAAGACTGTTAATTGATCTGGGAAAGAAGTCTGTCGTGGCGAGTGTCAAACCTTTTCTGTCTTTATTCCAAGCATGACAGCTGATGGCATCAACACCTAAATTGTGAACCTCTGTCATATTTCACTTAATTTTTACGAATAATTCGATAAATGTACATACGATGCCGTTGGGGAAAATATGCGATAACGCGAATTATATTATATCTATGAATCACCGCACTTAATCGCTCGGAGACGGGTGCGGTCACCTAACTATTAATGTTAATTTACTAAATTAAACGTTAATAAAACTCATTCACAAAAAATCTGTTGGAAATTCGCGGACTCTGGTCAGTCGACACGAATTTTCTGAATCTGTAACCAATAATACAATGTACGACACTCTCTCTAAATAAACCAGAATTGACAGTTCATCCGCAGATAGCGGGTTATCGAGGTCGAGGTACCCTTCTAGGTTATGTTGTTCCAGATAGAAATTGTACTGCCGTCAGAGCGTCCTCTACCAACTTCAGTTATTCCGGGAATAATCCGAATAATCATTGAGCTGCGGTGTAAGCTGTGTGACAGTGATCGGTTCGAGAGAGATCCAAAACTGGTGGTTTCGTGTCATGAATTTGTTTGGAAAAGGGAGATAAACTCTGTGATTTACTATTATTCTCTCTGTTAATATAAGACCGTAACAGAGAGAAACTCTCTGACCGTAATAACCCATTTTGAATTTCTCTCGGATCGCTGTCGCAACTACTTCTTCCTATAGCAGTTCACACTCCAGTTAAAATAGAGCTCGACAGGAATAATACACAAAAGAATGAAAATTGCACGAATTCTAAATTGTAGATCGTATCGATATTATTAGATGAATGCACAACTGCCCGTTCAAATTTTATTGAACATAAAACTTGTGGGTCGTTAAAATATCCACGAGAAGATATATATGTTTATATATATGTTATAATTGTGTAATTGTATGCTGTGCGATTACAGTGCGCAGCACATGTAACGCGATAGTAAATGTAATGAATATAATTTATATACATGTATATATTTGAAAAGTAGAAATGTATGAGAAATAATGTATGCTTTTCGTGTTTCTAAATTTCAAATTGAATCTATTCGGGAGAGGTAAATAATAAAAGAAATGTAATTTTATT